GTGCGAACTCTCGATCAAGCGATTTCAGCTTAAAATCGGCTTTTTTTAGGGACGCTTTAGAAGACCCCCTTCAAAGTTATGAGCGCTAGGACGCGATATAAGACCCGGGTCCTCTATTGTGTCCATTCCTTTATCAAGTTTTCTCATAAAATGACGATATGCACCTCACTTGATAGAAAAATCTTCGGACTATTCAAAATAGTATTCAGATTGATACCAGCTTTTACTGAAAAATAAAAAAGAAAGTTCTCATTATGAAACACTGCACTGCATATATAACACCCAAACGCTTCTTTTGCATATCTTTAATGACTGACCCCACCTGTCTAGATGTTTTGACCACTTCAGTTTGTAGAGAATTTCACGGGCAATTCTCTGGTGTTCTTTTGAAAAATATATAGTTTTTCATTAAGACAGAAAAGACTTCTAAAACAGAATTCAACACTCTGTAAAACTACATGTGACTTGGCCGGTAAGCATGTGTTTTTCGAGAGACAGACTCCGTCAAGACCCTCCTTAGGACTTCTTGTCCCCAAAAACTTTTTTTGTGTGTTGACCATATGTATAATACTTCGTTCGACTCAACATGGTAACACCCATATCTCGGTAACCAGAAGGTATTAACCCAATCCCAATACAGATTTAGATTCGCCGCGAGAAGCTCTACAAAACCTGATATATAGCTTTCTAGTTCGACATACTTTTGAAATCCGACAGGATCCTTTGATTTTGCAATCCAGTGCCCTGTATTAAACTAAGCGGAAAAAACGGTAGGAAAAATGTCTTTGATTTTCGTAAAATTGCTCCAAAAAAAGTATCATTTCGATTTCGGCAACAACCAGCAAAACTTGTTTAGTGTGTAAAATGCGTTTCTCAAGGTTGTTTGACAATGCCAATAGTGCATATTGTGCAGAATTTCATTCTTTATCCACTGATATACTTTTAAAAGGTTAAGTAGGTCAGAAAATTGAAAAAGATAAATTTCTAAGTTTTAAATTTGAATTTTCGAGTTAAAAATTTGAGTTTCGTTCGTTTTAAAGCTGATATTTGTAATCGGTGCAAAAAAACTGTGTCTAGTAATGTGCTTTTAAGGCTGGTTTCAGAAAAAATATATCACTCAACCCACCGCAGCTAAGGGTGCCAGTTACGCGTTTTAGCCGATCTTTTGAATATATGCAAAGTAAAAAATGTCGCAGACATTTTGGGACACCCGGTAGCTTGATTAGGATTAAGAATTTCAAATAAAAGTAAAAAAATAAAAATAATATTGAATTTAGACTTTTTTAATTTGCGTGCCATATCGTTCGTTCCCAAGTTGAATTATAATTTAATGGCTTTGCTGTTCCACGACGATACCCACCTTCACCAACAGCTGGTTGCCAACATAAACGAAGATTCGAATTTTTATCTGTTAACTTATCACACTTGTCGCGAAAAACAGAATCGGTTCCATTAACAAAACCCCAAGAGTGTGTTGAGCTATAATACCATCCAACACCATTGGCTAGATGGGTACACTTTTCGGCTGATCTACAATTAAACAAAACGTCAGATCTCATACCCATTGCAGCTAATGTAAATGTTGGCGCACCCACTGGTCGGCAAGCAAGTAATAGTTTTTGTTTATTACATTGATAATTCAATGAATCGGTTATCGGGAATTTGGATCCAGATGCAGATCTCACCGCATATTTATCGTTATAACACATTGACCAACCGGATAGTATCAGTGGATCTAAATTTAATATTGGACCTGATACCCAATAAGTTTCACGAACTACAACAACAACAAAAAATTATTCTAAATTAGTAAACATCTGTTTTCCTAAATCGAATGAGATTCTTAAAAAAAAGCTTGTAATCCGTAAATTTGTGGAAAATAATTTACACCATTTATTTGACTTTTCTCCTGGCTAAGATAGCTAAAATAAAACTATAGGAAAGACCTGAATGATTGGGAGACTTTTCTATCAGAGAAGCTGTGAACAAAATTTCTATGACAATTGCTAAAAATCGAGTTCGTAGAAAATCAAGTAGTGATGGGATGTTGTGTAGTCGTTAAACATGAGTATTGATTGATAGATAGTGAAAAGAAAGAATAAAACTTTTGGTATTGCTATAGTCATTTATTGCTTGCGTGGCATTAAGAGTTTATGTGATGTCCATTTAGCCCTTTTAAGGAAAGCACTCAGTTCAGCTTTATCCATGCTTTAAGAAGATAACACTAATAAAAACATCTTTTTAGAAACTGTTCTAGCTTCATTCAGAGGGGATATTATAGGTAGTATCAAAATATACTATATATAAATGTATTACATATACTCAGGCTAACTTGTTCACTTTCACAGGAAAGATCAATCTCTAACACTAAACTTGAACGAGAGTATACTTATCGGAATGTTCATTCATAGTATATTGAGAATGACTCACTTACGTTATTTCGTTAAGGATGATTTACTTACGTTAAGACAGGAAAGTTCGTGTAATATACGTAGCTTCTTCGTTTCGCAAGGCAAGAAAACTATTTTCCTTAACGTCGCACGTTATGTTTTCTCTTTACTTTACTTTTAAATCCTATACTTTATATATATAGGTCACGAGGGACGAAAGACAGATAGTAAAAAAATAACCCTTCTTGCGTCTTACGGCGCATTACTAAAATCAGGAATCCAACAGAAACTTTCGAGAAACCTGGTTATGGGATTCCTGATTCTTCATAGACTCGATTTTTAGCAATTTTCATGAAACTTTTGTTCACAGCTCCTCTGATAGATTTATTTGATTTTTACACACTTATTGCTATTACGCTGTAAAATCGAAAAAATTCATTTTAAAACTTACTTGTTGACATTAACGTTAATTTGGTTGTTGTTACTGTGCTCGTTGTAGTTAGTGGCGTTGTTGTGACTGTGGTCGCTGTAGTTAGTGGTGTTGTTGTAACTATAGGGTTATCACTGACTCTCCACTCTGGAATTATTGTCCTGGCTGAAAAGCATTCTACTATAAACTGCAATAATTTTTATGTGAAGAGAGTGTGAGATAGATAATTCAATGTTGTGAGATGGGAGGATAAAAGTGACTTCGTAAGCTGTAGCAACTCAAAATTGTTGGGTACTTATAATAACTATGAGATAGCACAACACTTCAAAGAGTCAGTTGTTTATGGCTTCTAGAAAACCTTTCCGGAAAGCTCAAAAAATTTTGATAAAGTCCAAATCAGCAAGGATCCTGATACTGAACGTCTTAGACTATCCAACCATGTGCTTAGCTCGATATCAATTTTTTATATAAAATTTCGTATTTCTGAGGGTGTGTGTGTTATTGTGAATTTCGAACTACAGTTGTCAGGTTCAGAGATTAGAGCTAGTAAAAAGAAGGTAGCACGAAAGTGTATGTAAAGCAGCTATAGTGAATTTTCTCTACATATCTCACGACTGTACTAATTGTACTTCACAGTTGTTGATGGAATTTGTTTTTTAAATTACATCACCTCTAACTTTCGTATTCTAAAACTACACGCGCGGAAAATACGAAAGAAAATAAAAGACAATTCGTCCACACGACCATGTCAGTTGTATTAATTTCTCACCAAGAATTATTGTTGTTGACAATGTTCGAGAATTAAGTATAATATATTGTTTTTGAATTACAAAAATTGGCTTGTGATCTTTTTCAAAATTTGTTCATTACGTTAAAATCTTTTTTTTATAAATAAAGAAAAAGAGAAAAAAATCTTAAGTTAAACCGAAAATAAAATAAAATGAAGTTAACTTAAATATAAGTTAGCTTTACTTAACAGTTTTAATAGTTACTTAACCCTTTCTTGACCTATGACCCCTATAGGGACCATTTTATATGAATTTAGTTCACTTGAACCAGCGAATGTCTCGCAATACTAAGCGATCTTTATCTAATAGGCTACAGTCTATGAC